AAAAAAAAAAAAAAAAAAAAAAAAAAAAAAAAAAAAAAAAAAAAAAAAAGCTCACATTGATTAACATCTTTTACAAAAAGAAAGAAAAAAAAGAAAAAAAATAATTAAATAAAAGTTATTTAATATATAATTAAAGAGAATATGCCATCCCGTGAACCAAACGATCCCTAAAGATTCCATTGTACAGCGCCACCCTATTCACCGGCATTCCGCTGCCTCCTCCACCGTGGCTCGTCAAAGACGGCGGCGGGGCTCTATCCACCGGCGGCGAATGTCTTCAGTACTGCAAACTGCTGAATCATCAGCAAAGTGAACTCTTTTTCTTCCCTTCTTCTTCTTCTTCTTCTTCTTCACCACTTCAAGGGGGAAAAAAATCCAAAAAATAAATAGAAAATAAAATTATAAAACAAAAAAATTGGTGGTTTTTGCTCACCAGAAGAAACTGAGGCGGCGGACTTATGGTGGCGGAAGGAAAGCACGACGGCGACAGCTTCTGAGAGAGCTTCCATAGCCATAGCCATAGCCATAGCCATGGCTTGGGAGCTCAAAAGTGAAGAAGGCATGATGTGTAATAATTATTAGATATCCATAAATTAATAAAAATATTTTTATGTATTTTGTATAAAAAAAAATATGTATAAACTTTTTTTTAATTATTTTTTAATGAGTTGGCTTCAATAGTTGTGGCTTCTAATTAATTCCATAAATTTTTTTATAAATTATTAATGAAATGAGACCCAATATGGAAATTTTAAATTAATTAATTGGACCACAATTAATTATATAACCTATGAATCTCTATTTTTATCGCATTTTTTCCATTAAAATGGATCATAGATTCACGGTAGCATTAGTAATTAAGTAATGGGTCAAAGTAGATAATATTTATTAGTGGTGAACTTGAACTATTACAAAAGGTCTTTGAATCATACATTGACATGTGTGCCAGCGAGAACGTTGGGCTCCAAGAGAGATGAGTTGTGAGGTTGGGCTTATAAGGGTGTGGAGATTTCTCTCTAATAAACACGTTTTAAAATTGCGAGACTGATGACGATATGTAACAGACCAAATGAATAGTGCATGAATGAATTGAGACCATATTCAAATGAGAATAATTCTAAAGATTGAAAAAAATTGATAATTACTATCTATACCAACAAGGTACACATTCATAAAACATGAGTGATGATAAAATATGCTAAAAGGACTGGTGTTGGTCTGTGTGAATAGAATACCGGTTTCACAAGAGATACAGAGAAATTTCGAGACCATCATATGTCAAATTTGGATTTCAAATCTTATGTACATTACGTAGACACAAACATCAACGTTCGTGAACTAAACTCGATAATTAACCTAATTTAATTTGCAAAACCCATGAGTTAATGACTAATTATCATATGTTTAGTATTAAGCCAACATTCTTTCTTTGATATTAAGGTTTTTTTTTTCTCATAATCACTTGTAACTTGAAAAATAAGATTTAAAAAAAAATTAAAATAAATTTATCAACTAGACGTATTTTTTTAATATATATTTTTTGTTCATCAAATTTTTATTTTTCTTGATTAAAAATATAAAAATATATTTTTTTCTCATCAAAATTTAATTTAAAAATGTCGCAATCATTATTTAAATTATATTAACCAATTAAATTCAATAAATGTTATTTAAGAAAATTAAATGCAATAAAAAGCTATCTAATTGGCTTCATCACAAAGTCTCTCGAATTATTATTATTATTATTATTATTATTTGACATAAAAAATGCTTTTTTTTCAATAATAGAGTTTTATGGTGAAGTTGTTAAATAAGAGAGGGATACTCTAAATCATAGGCTTTATAAATGAAGCAAAATGAAAGTCTTAAATATATATATATATATATATATATATATATATATATATATATATATATATATATATATATATAGACTCTATATAAACTAAATAAGGCTAAAAATATAATTTTTTTTTTAAAAAAAACATAAATATTCCATTTTCAATAATAAAAAAAATTCTAAACTAATTTACGGATTGAATTGGTTGTAATTTATTTAAATAAAATTCATAAAAATATCTATTTATTTAAGATTTGTAATTAAATTTTAATATATATTTTGAAAACTTATCATCTTACCAGTTAAAAATATTATTTTTAAGAATTATTAGAGAACCGTCGATCAAAAAATAATTATGAATATATGTATATAAATTATATCGTAAACAAAATTAAATATTAAATATTATCTTACTTAAATAAATTTATAATTTTAATCGAGTTAAAATAATAAAATTATTTAATTTTAATTTTTTTAATATTATCCTAAAATGGGGAGCTGTTGAAATGACATATTATATATTTATAAAAAAGAAAGGAAAATTGTGGGAATAAGTAATATTTTTAGCATTAATTACAATAATAATAATTATTTATTAATATATGTGTGGTAGAGATATATTTATTTATTTATTTATTATTTAAAAAAATAATCATTATGGTAACATTATAAACATGGGTTAATTAAGTACCATTGGCTCCGATTATATTGGTTTGTTATATTATTTTGTAGAGTTTGGATACAATTATATTAGTCTAGTACTATATACTATTAAGTGGTGAATTAAATTGTCAACTAACATTTTATGGTATATGGTTATAGTTATATTAGTTTATTGCATTAATTATACAGCTCTGTTGTTACCGATATATTAGTCGATAAAATTTAATTTTTTAAACTTAAGCTCGTAAATACTGTTATTTATTGAATTTTTTGTATCGTTTCATGCTAAGTTCTGTATGACTCGATAACAGGTTTTGACACTACTCACATGATGAAAAAATCGAGGAGATAACCCGAACAGGGTCATTCCCCTCAAGATGTGTCATATCATGTTATATATATTCAAATAAAATGCTCGTGTTTTGCTCTTTTTTACCATACTCGAGATCGAGTAACTAATTAAACTATAGTTCAATTTTTTTTTTTATCTCTAAGAACATTTTAGTTCAACGATATGTGAGAGTAAAGATTTACGTCTCGAAAAGATATGATTTTAACTTATTAAACTATGATTAGGTTAACTTTCTTTGTATAATTGTTATCGGGACGATAAGAAGTTTAATTCAATTATAATAATGTTGTCACAAAGTTCATTTACAAAAATTAGGAAACAAAATTATTACAAACTAAAAAATCTACCCTATGATAGTGAAGGTTAGGGTTTTGATAATTGCCCATGTGAAAGAATAGTAAAAGCCTAATATGGCTCGGACGTGGTAATCTCGAGTGTTCTAAGTGGTTTGTATTTATTAGTATTCTGGGTCTCGGTTAATTTTTTCATAAGTCCACCGCTAGTAGATATTATCTACTCTGACCCGTTTCTTCTTTTTCTCTTATTTCTCTCCTCCTGTAATAGCCTAAGCCCACCTCTAGCAAATACTGTCAGCTTTGGTATGTTACGTATGGTCATGCCCATGTCCATCTTTAGTAGCCATCAGTAACACGTCTATTAGAGAGAAGTTTTCATACCTTCATAAGAAATGGTTCGTTCCCCTCTTTAACCGATGTGGGATCTCAGACTTCTCACTCGTTCGTTTAAAAAAATTAACAAATGTGGTCGATTAATTTTTTTTTTCGGGTCCAATTATGAGCAAACCAACCTCGTTCTATAGAGGGAGTATAATGAAGAACACAAGTCAAAAGGGCTAAAAGAGAAGTGAAGAACTTGGGCAAAAACTCATTTATTTGAGGTAGATATATAGGACACACTATATTGTAATTAAGAAAATTAGAGTATTAGGTGACAATAATGATTATGCGAGAGAAAAATATGAGTGTAGTATTTATTCAACTTTTTAATTCACCGACACTCTCGATCTACAATTTTTTATAAATTATTTCCAACATTTCTTAACCGTCATATCCTCGTGATCAGTCTAGTTTGAATATAGTATCGGTTCATTCATGTATTGTACATTTTTTACCATGACTCAATCATAAGCACTTCAAAATTACTCGTCGTAAGTTAAGCATGTAACTGAAAACAAAACATACTAATAAAAACCGTATAGGTTTGTGAGAATAGTTTTTCTGTAACACTCGAGTAAATGGATGCATGAATAAACCGGGATCACATCCAAATGAGTAGAACTATTTGAAAGTTGAATTTTTCACCTCTCTCGCTACTTCCCTATATAATGTTCATCTTTCTTTGCCATTGCTCCAATCAATTCTCTCTCTCTCCGCCCCTCTCTCCTCCCTCTTTCTCTCTCTTTGTGGGAGAGACAAGAGACAGAAGCTTGGACAAAATCATGGCGCCATCAAAGAAGTTTAGAGGCGTTAGGCAACGACACTGGGGATCTTGGGTCTCCGAAATTCGCCACCCTCTTCTGTAAGTTTCCGAACCCACCATTGAAGACCTCTCTCTCGTCTTGAATCTATAAGTTTACGCAGATGGGTCATTATATTCTTTACCTCGGTATCTCTCGTTCAATCTTAAAGTTTAAGTAGATGGGTCATGTTATTATTTACTCCAGTCTCCCTCGTTGAATCTTATTATTGTTTACTTCAGTCTCTCTCGTTGAATCTAAAAGTTTAAGTAGATGGGTCATGATATTGTTTATCTCGATCTCTCTTGTTGAATCTAAAATTTTAAATAGATGGTCATGATATTATTTACCTCGGTCTCTCGTTGAATCTAAAAGTTTAAGAAAATGGGTCATGATATTGTTTACCTCAATCTCTCTTGTTGAATCGTAAAGTTTAAGCATATGAGTCATGATATCTCGTTGAATCTTAAAGTTTAAGCAAACAAGTCATTATATTATTAACCTCGATCTCTCAAATAACGAAATATTTAAATGTTACGTTTGATACTCATTAGGGTTTCACATTTTTATGAATTCTTAGCTAAATTTCAAAATTAAAATAGTTTTTTTAATTCGGTTTATTTTGAATTAAAAGAATAGGTTTAAATTAGGTTGAATAATGAAAATTTAAAAGTAATGCTTCAAAAGCTCTGAATAGGGTTTTCGTGTTCGGGTTTGGATTGTGAGGTCTAGTACACATGCCTACCAAGTTTTTTTTTTACCTTATTTTAGTTAAGAGACCAAAACGAGAAAGAAACTTCACTCGAGATTGTACTAAGACTAAAATGTGAACAAAAAAAATGTAGCCATGTGTACGAGATCTTACCACTCAAACCCGAATGCAAATAAAATTTGAACTTTCAACTTTCAACTTAGAAATCGAGCTATAGGTTAATTACTGTTGAGTTATGATTGAATTTTGAATCTAAATTTTCTATTCGTATTCATACAAAATACAGGAAGAGAAGGGTTTGGTTGGGGACGTTCGAGACGGCGGAGGAGGCAGCGAGAGCGTACGATCAGGCCGCCGTGTTAATGAGCGGTCGAAACGCAAAAACCAACTTTCCGATGAGCGAAACGGCGGCGCCAGAATTAGAAAAACTCAACAACATCACTACTCCATCTTCAACAAAGGGCTTATCAGAGATCCTCCACGCCAAGCTTCGAAAATGCAGCAAAGCGCCGTCGCCATCAATGACGTGTCTCCGACTCGACACTGAAAATTCCCACATCGGCGTTTGGCAAAAACGCGCCGGCCAACGCTCTGACTCAAGCTGGGTCATGACGGTTCATTTGGGAAAAGAAAACTCCTCCTCCTCCACCGCCGCCGCTTACGGCGGCAATGACGACGGTGGGCGGTTGTGGAATAGTAAAAAAAGTGGTGGCGCTTCAATGGCGGGCGGTGGACCCCACATGAGGAATTTGCAGATGGATGAAGAAGAAAGAATTGCATTGCAAATGATTGAGGAGTTGCTGAGCAGAAATTATGGTAACCCATCTGAAATTCAAGTTCAAGATCATCAAGAGGAAGCAAAGCTAAGCCCTTTCTAATTTAACTTCAAATTATTTACTTATAATTATATCACAAATTTATGATTAATTATGTGTGCAATTGTAAATTTATAATAATATAATAAAATATATTGTAATTTTGTCGACTTTGTGTCCACTATGAGCCGGATTCATACCAAATGAAATAGTATTTCTTCATTATATACCGATAATCATTCCCTAAATTAGTAGATGTGAGACTTTCATCCAACAAACTATATATTTATTAATAATAAAAACCCAAAATTCCATGATAAAAAAAGGTTTATTTTTTAAAAAATTGTAATATTACTATGATGTTACGGTTTCATAAGTTTTGGATTGGGTTGAGTTGGTAACGTGAATGACTCGAACAGGGTTCACAATACATATTACATTAACCTCTATTTTCAGGTTGGGTTAGGTGGGTTATCGGTTTGTTTATTTTTTAATATTATTTTAAAAAATCCTACTTATTCACGATACACGTTAGATTAATAACTAAAATATAATATTCTTCGTCTTTATAGAAACCTTAAAAGTAGGGTTGGGTTGGTCGAGTTGATCAGACAAAAAAACGTTTCAATCTATGAAATGAACTGAATTTTTCAGTTTTTAAAAAATTCAACCCAATTCAAACCAAAAATATAAATCTAACTCAACCCTAAGTTTGTAAAAGCTGAAGTCTACTGCTAGCAGATATTGTCCTCTTTAGCCCGTTATGCCTCATGGTTTTAGAACATGTCTACTAAGGGGTGAGCTTGAGCTTTTACAAATGGTATTAGAGTCAGACACTGGACGATGAGCCAGCGAGGATGCTAGGCCTCCAAGGGAGTGGATTGTAAGATTCTACATTCGTTGGAGAGGGAACGAAACATTCCTTATAATTGTGTGGAAACCTTTCCCTAGCAGACGCGTTTTAAAACCGTAAGGTTGATGGTGATATGTAACGAGCCAAAGTGAACAATATCTACTAGCAATGAGCTTGATAAACTGAATTTTTTGGATCTAAGATGATAAGAACCTTCCTAATTTTAGGGTTATAATATTATAACTTTTTTCGATCATTATTTTGTTATAAGGTAAACTTGACGCTACCTTTTTTCATGGTATTTAGTTCCTATGAAATATTTAAATTCTCCATTAGCTTTCTTGGTATTTACTCGTTACGTATCGCTATTAGTCTCATGGTTTTAAAACGCGTCTACAAGGGAGAGGTTTTCACATCCTTATGAGGAATGTTTTGTTGTCCTCTCCAACCGACATGGGATCTCGCAATCCACCCCCCTTTGAGGCAGCGTCCTCGCTGGCACACCTCTCAGTGTCTAATTCTGATATCATATGTAACAGCTCAAGCTCACCACTAGCAGGTATTGTTTGTTTTATTCCCCTCTCTGACCAATGTTGGATCACATTGTGAGCCTCGATGGTGTAGTCAAAGTGACTCAAGCATTCGTCAAACAAACTTTTCCATGACAATACTTAACACTTAAGCTATAAAGTTTTAATTTAACTATATGAACGGAATGAATATGTGACGAATGTAGACACGACATATCTTTTCGAACATGTTAGAAATTTAGGTAAGAATTATTTCAAAATTTAGTTGGAAAATTAATGAAAACTTTACTTTGAAAGAGAGACAACAATTTCGAAGACAAAGGGGCATGTTTGTGCATACTTTGTTAAACTTGTCTTTCACCCCTTGAATTGTTGGATACCCTACAAGAAAAGGGGTTGTCATTTATGGTCCTCTATATATTTTTAGGACACCCATTTCAAACTTTTCACCAAATTTTGTACCAAAATTTTGATTTCATAGCTTCACAAACATTCAAAAACAATAGTGATATTGTAGTACACGATATACTCTACAACGACATCGTTTAAAAATAAATTAGTGATAAAAATATCATCGTTTTTTAATAGCTGATATCGTAGTTATTGATGGCTAAAAACGTCAACTATAGTAATACCTTACATTTTTAGTCAATGAAGACCAAATTTGTAATAATGTACACACGTGCACACCATTTTATCGCAAGATTTATTTGAACATAACCGGAATAGGTTCATAATCCAACCTAAACCGTATGAGTTTGGTTCGGGTTGGGTTTATTAGATTTTTTAGGTCATCAAAGCATATTGGCTAGTGATTGTGATGCCTCAATTTTTTATTGCAGTGGACACCAAAGGCCTATGCCCTTCCATCCCTTTGATAGATAGACGGGGAGTACATAACTTTTTTTGGTTTTTTCATGTTGTCAAAGAGTTGAATAATGATTTTTTTCGTGTTGTCAAAGATTGAACAATGAAAATAGATGGCGAGTGCCTAATCGAATTGATCGGGTCATGTAGGAACAAGGTTTGTCTACTGATCTATTAGGATGTCTCAGTTGCATACATCACTGCACTTCCACTTGACACCTATCATAATGATAAATGGCTAATCTCACTCTGTCGCTCCATCCCTGCAGGAGTAGAGAACTCATCGCTATCGATTTGAACACTTCTAATTATCATTACTATAATAAAAAGAAAGAGGTTGGAAAATCTTTTTAAAACTATTTAAATTATAAATTACGAGATTGAAATTATAAATATCTTAATCAGCTGATTTAACTTCGAGTTATTATATATTTTTTAATAAGTCCTCTCTCTATAAAATTATTGTGATGGTCCCATTGGTAATGGTTAATGAAGGCAACTTTGAGGGGCCAAGATGCATTGAAAACCCTCTTTATATTATTGAATTAATAGTGTTACAATTATTTATTTTGGGTTTAATTTGTGGTATAGTTTTTTTTTTTTTTTCCTTTCTTCGGAAATAAGAGCGGATCTAAAACGAGCAGGTTTTAGGGGAGTAACGCATCGATTTAATAAGTGAAAGATTTTTTTTTTTAATTCAATGATATATTGTTCGGTGAGATTTGAATTTCTAACCTTAAAGACTTAAATTTAATAAATGACCCGTTTTTTTTTCCTCCCATTTTAAGTAAGAACGAATCTAAAACGAACAAAATATAAATTTGAGATTAAAATATTTTGTTTTTGTATTCAATAATATATACATTAGAGGGATTTGAGTTTCTATAACAGCTCAAGTTCACCACTAACACATATACGCTTTAGGTCGTTACATATCGCTATCGGCCTCACTATTTTAAAATGCGTCTAGCTAACAGTGATACATAACGAGCTAAACGAAAAATATATGCTCAACTTTTCCTCGAAAAGGACCATTTAACTTGCCCATTTACAAAAGAACAAGCCCATTAACTTGTTTCTCAAAAAGGTTGAGCCCATTAACGTTTTCATTGGGCTTGAGTAAACATGTTCAAAATGAAGAGAAATCTAAGCTAAAATGAATAATGTGAGGCTTTCGACGCTATGTAACAGGCCAAAATGGATAATGTGAGTTTGGACTGTTACGGAGATCCTCTTTAATACATTAAGAAAAGATGTTTACAAAGGCGACTAATTCCAATATAATTAGGGTCTATCTGTGCAAGTCAACTGAACATCGTGATTGATGGGTGAGTAGGTGCACTTCTCGCCCAGTGGGAAGTAATGAGTCCGGTCTCTCATCCCTCTAAATGAAGAAGTAATGGGGTGCTTACGTACCTTTATTTATCTTTTTTATTTGTTTAAATGATTGAGACACGATTTTCATCGTGTTGAAATCTCGAGACTCAAATTGAAATAAAATTTAAATTTTAAGAACACATAAGGTTAGTTTTGAAAGCTGAATGATGTACTAATTCAGTTTCTACTCCAAACTTGAAAAATGACCATTGATTTCTATCGGCTTAATTTCTAGTTCAATCCGTTTAAATTTTAAACTTGAGTAGGTGGTGTGATTTTGAAGCGGTGGTAGTCTCCCGCTAATCCAATCAACAATTCTAAGACTATCCTAAGGCTCGATAATTAAAATCAAAATCAAAATTAATCCAAAAAAAATTAAATGTACAAAATCAACCCTAAAAAATGTCTTCAAAATGACTACTTTGAACTATCCACACACACACAAAAAAAAAAAAAAAAGTTTTAGAAAATATTTTAATTAAGCCTAACCAACCACAAGCTTACACGTAATAAATAAATAGAAAGAAAATATTTAAAAAAATTAAAAATCCTCATCCATTCTTTTTTTAGGGAATAAAACAGGAAATATGGTGAGAAAATAATAAAAGGATATTCGAAGACAAATTCTTGGAATATTCTTTCTCTTACCGTTATATTCCCCAAATTCTCACTTTTTCTCTTCTTTTTCTAACTGGCTCATTTCACAATCGCCATTACCCATCACCACCGAAATTTGATATTCAGTTCCGTTTTCTCTCTCATTTTTCCGGCGCCGGAAACCGTGGTTATGAAGTTCGGCAAGAGTCTGAGCAACCAGATTGAAGAAACTTTGCCGGAGTGGCGGGACAAGTTTTTGTCCTACAAGGAGTTGAAGAAGCGGCTCAAGCTTGTGGAGCCTAAAGGCGGTGACCGGCCGAGCAAGCGGCCAAGAATCGAGGACGGAGACAAGGACGATTCTTCGTCGAGCGAGGAGATGATTTTCATTAAGTTGCTGGAGGATGAACTTGAGAAATTTAATAGTTTCTTTGTTGAGAAGGAGGAGGAGTACATTATCAGATTGAAGGTATGTTCTTCCCGTTTCTTCATTGCTTTCGTTTCGTTTTGAAGTTTCTGATTCTATTTAGACCTCGCATTTATTTCGTTCCTTTTGCATTAACGAAGTAGATATGATTCGACTCTGGAATTTGACCAAGCCACATAAACACCAGAAAAATCTGATTCTAAGCGTTTAATCCTGTAATTCTGAAAACAATATTTCAAGTAGGATCAAGAAACTTGTTCCAATAGAGGCTTTAACGGTTGAATGCATCTCTTTACTCCATCATACAGAGTGATAGATCTTTTGAAGAACTGATTAATCAAATGCGAATCGAATAAAAATAGTCTCATTCTACATGTAAATGTGGACAAAATGAAATTTATAGTAAGAGGAAAATCCGTCGACTTTAAAAATCGTGAGGGTTCAAGTCCCTCTATCCCCAAAACTCTAAAAAGGCCCGTTCGCCTCTTTAATTATTTATCCTTTTCCTTCATTCGACTCTTTCACAAGCCTATTTGAGCGGAAATTGGATTTCTTAGCACAAGATTTGTGATGTATATTATCTATGATATAAGTAGAAACGAACAAAAGATACTAATGATCAAATTGCTTCCACTTTTGTTTTGGAATAATTCAGGAGCTTCAAGATAGAGTAGGAAAAGCAATAGATTCCAATGAAGAGATGATTAAAATCCGCAAGGAAATTGTGGACTTCCATGGTGAAATGGTTCTCTTGGAGAATTACAGTGCTCTTAACTTTACAGGTGAGCAACCTTTGTTAACTTTCTTCACTGTCTTTATACCCTTTTGCGCTCATGTCTTGCATATGACATTATGCTATTTTGTGTTCTTACGGCACATAATGATATCAAATTGAGGCCACAAGCTGCTGAATCAATTCCTTTATGCCTGGAATATACTTTGAGGAAGAACACTTAATAATCAACTTGCATACCTTTTTATAGGGCTTGTGAAAATTCTAAAGAAGTACGACAAAAGGACCGGCGCACTCCTCCGCCTTCCCTATAGTCAGAAAGTTCTGCAACAGCCCTTCTTTACGACCGACCTGCTTTACACCCTCGTGAAGCAGTGCGAGATGATGCTGGATCTACTCTTCCCTCTTAACGAGCTACCTTCTTCTAGTTCAAATGGAGTCGATGAAGTTGGTGCTCCTACAAAGCCAGCCACCACCAACATTGATGATCTGCTCAAGGCAACCAAGGAAGTTTCAGAGATCGAATATATGGAGTCACTTTACATGAAGAGCACCGTATCTGCATTACGGGTTTTGAAGGAAGTCCGAAGTAGGAGCTCGACTGTGAGTGCCTTCTCGTTGCCACCACTGCAAATGAATGGATTAGAAGATACATGGAAGAACGTTCCAGTGCTAGAAGAAGTAGCTAAGTAGGAAGGATCAGATATCACCAACTATAAGGAAGTTCCCTTTTAGTTCTATACGTCTTCCTTTGATGTTCGTGTGGAATACTCGTGATACTAACAGTAACATGTAAAACTGAAATATGAAGTTCAAATCATAATGTAGAATCTTATAAAGGAGTGGTAATATTTACATTATCTTTATCAACTTTTTTCTATCAACACTCAGACGAGAGTAGCACTTCGATTAGGAGCTGAACAGAACTAAATAAGCAAAAGGAATGAATCAGAGAATTTTACCCAAGTCAGTGGAAAGAAAATGCCATACTGAATCCATTACCAAAACAAATATCTGTAAAAATGTTTACCAAGTAACAACCAAAAGGAAGCCATTTGTTATAAAAAGCTAAGCTAATGCTCCAAATGAGATAGAAGTGCATCTCGAGGAGAGTATACAATATAGTTATAACTGTCCAAGCCCACCATTAGCAGTTATGGTCCGTTTCAACCTGTAACGTATCGCTGTCAACCTCATGGTTTTAAAACGCATCTATTAGGGAGAGGTTTTCACACCCTTATAAAGAATGCTTCGTTTCGCTCTTCAATCAATGTGGGATCTCACAATTCACCTCCCTTCGGGGTCCAACGTCCTCGTGGACACTCGTTCCCCTCTCCAGTCGATGTGGGATCTCACAATCCACTCCCCTTCAAGGCTCAGTGTCCTCTTTTGCACACCGTTTGGTGTCTAGCTTTTATACTATTCGTAACAGCTCAAGCCTACTACTAGCAGATATTTTCCGCTTTGGGTTATGTATCGCCGTCAGCTTCACGGTTTAAAACACGTCAGTTAGGAAGAAGTTTCCACACCCTTATAAAGAATATTTCGTTCTCCTCTCTAACTGATGTAGGATCTCACAATAGTCGCCACATTGTGGCCGCTTCTCTCTACGATGCATAATTTTTAGTTGCTTTCTCATATCTTGACGGTACAAAACTACCAACTACATTGTTCTGGCCTCAATAATCTCTCCCTCTTGAGCACCAAAGTAGTCCAACAGAATACCCAACTTTTCTTCTTTTGTTTAGGAGGGATTCAAACCTAAAATTCATAGGGGCTAGGGAAGATATTAAATACCTAACAACTAGAGTATACAAAAGTCAACAACTCCACTATTCTAATAGGCTTTAAGCAGCACAACAAGCCCGGTGAGCTTGAAAACACAATTAGATAAATAAGGTGGAAAATGATCACATTTATTGAACAGAAGATAGGAATGCAGATTCGATATATCTAATGGTAAGAGCATACCAAAACCATTATAAAATTAACTTGGTGTTCTGTAAGATACTAGACTACGAAAAGGGATCGACTCCATTGAATAGAAGGGAACTTTAAATTCCTAGAACTCACAAAACGAATCCATAATGATCCAAGTGAACAGCTGATCCTTGTGCTTTGCATTGAACCTCACTTTTCAGCCTTTTCAACACTTTCATCATTTTCGACAATATCTTTCTCATAACGACGTTTGAACTTCGCAATCTGCCCAACACTTTCAGCCAATTGACGCCTTGCTCTGAACTGGTAGACTTTACCAACGTGGTGTATCTTGGTCATCATAACGTGCATCAATCTGCCACTCTGTGTGACATATGATATCCACTGCATTTGAGGGTGCAAGCCTTTCTTCATTGTATAGATCTGAAATCATAATTAGTACTTTAGCTTCTAGAGAAAATAGTTTAGTTCCTAAACTTAAAGTTTCCAGAAAAAGAACTATCTCAGTAAAGCTGCATTTGAATCAAAACCCACAAGTTTCCATTCTCAATCGACAATCTTGTCCTGTTTATACGTGGGGAAGCTACGAACGATGAACATGTACAATGCAGCTATACCACTTACTAGAGGAATTTCGTCAAACATTTGGTGGGCTGTGTAATGTTCAATGTTCACCATCCCCAATGAGTAGAAATTCGGAAGTGACAGCCACATTGAAGGGAGATGAAGAAGTGTGGCAAGTTCAAATATACCATTTTATTGAAGAATTTCGTCAAACATTGGCGGGCACTATGCAAAGTTCAACGTTCGTCACACCAAAAGTGCAGAACTAAGAAAGCGATAGCCACACTAAGGAGGAATGATCTAGGATGAACAAGTACAAATATACCATTCATAGAAGAATTTCATCAAACGGCTGGTGAGCATTGCACAGTGTTCAATAATCGTAACCCAAATGAGTATCAAACTTGAAAAGCACCACCACCACAATGCGACTGTTAAATACTTAACGATCCTAAACCCTAACTTGGCCGCGTAATGATATGCAGATACTTTCTCAGCAAGTAAAAGGATTAATTTAGATGAAACATAAATTTCTCGATCGAGCATACAAATAGGTAACCCTAGAGAAAATCATTCACAAAAATCAGATATTAACAACCACAGGGCAGTGTCAAATTCCACAACCAAGGCTGTGATTTTTTAACTACGTCCGTTTCTGAAAACATCCACTAAATAGCATTTACAATTTAGGTTGAATCAGTAGAACGAGTAAAGAGATGACCAATCTCGCCAAATCCACAACATCTCACGCAAGAAAGAAGATTGGAGGGAGAGAGAGAGACAGTACCTTGAGTCGCTGAATGAAGCGGAAGCAGATACCGGAGATTGTAAGAAGAAGCTCTCTTTACCCTCGACGGGCGGCGGGGAAGGTAGAAGATGAAGCGAGTTGTTGGACTCTGATGTCCTCAACCAGAATGGCAACACATTTTGATGGAGTGAGGGTATTTTCGTCAACTTTAAATCAGAGTCCGATCAGTTTGGTTGTGGTCTATTTTTTTTTTTTTTTTTTTGGTGAAATTTGAATATTATATTTTTAGCATAAATATATTCAACTCGCTCAGATATACTAAACTTATAAAAATGTTATTTTTTCGATATGGACACGTCCTTAAAGAGGTGAGAAATTCTCAATTAAATAAGAAATGAAAGCGTTAACGAGTTTTTTTTTTTTGTTATTTAAGCCGAACTAGAGGTGAGGAGTATGATTAGCGGTATTTAACTTGGTAAGGAGATACTCCTTTCGATATAGGAATGTTATTTTCTCGATATGGATACGATCTCACAAAACCCGTCCTTAAAGAGGTGAGAACCCCTCAGTTAAATAGGGAATGAAAGCATAACGAGTTTTTCCTTACTTAAGCAGAAATAGAGATGAATAATATGAGTCATGGTATTTAACTAGCTGAATTTGGTTGGGACAGCAAAATCGATGCTAGTTACACTTTGGAAACATAGAAATTACATATTTCGAAATGGTCAAAATTAGGATTTTACACAAGTTTTTAGGTTTGTCAGTCCAAACCGAAAATCTGGGTTGGTTGTTTTTCTAACCCATCCAATGCGAGTTTAGATGGAAACCTAACCCAACTCTCACAATGTAAGAATCCAAGTCCACAGTTAACCGATATTGTCCGTTTTAAAACGCATCTGTTAGGAAAATGTTTCCACACCCTTGTAAGGAATGCTTAATCCCCTCTTCCACTCATATGAGATCTCACAATCTATCATTCTTGGGGCCAGTGTTCTCACTAGAACACTAACTCATGTTTGGCTCTGATACTATTTGTAACCGCCTAACCCCACCTCTAAAAGTTATTGTCCGTTTTGGGCGGTTTCGTATCGTCGTCAGCCTCACGGTTTTAAAATGTGTCTGTTAAGGAGAGGTTTTCACATTCTTATAAGAAATACTTCGTTCTCCTTTCCAACCGATGTGAGATCTAACACACAATTTCGAGTCGGGTTGGTTTGAGTCATTTGATCTTTTATCGTACTTCAGGATAAAAGAGAACGAGGTTCAAATTTAGCGGAAAAATATCATAAATTTCATTTACAAACTTGGAAATTATGTTACAAACTATGAAATTATGTGACCCATTATACAAAATTACTGAACTAACTGTCAGCTGTACTCATAAACCCACCCATAAAACCAGCTCCATTACATCCCCCACACAGGATATCCTTTTTGCCACTGCAATGTCAAAGACATTAACCCGTTTAGAACCTCAAATTTAATCGTTCTATCAGAAATCTCGAAATGAATAATGGTTACAATTGAAATGACCTTATTCTAAAAAGTGCAATGAGTCTAGGTTTGATCTAGACTCGTTGATAATAGATGGAATGATTTATATCAACTTGAGAGCATAGATTAATAGAACATAGATGCAATGGTTACACAAACGTGGTGATGAACTCAAATAGATGCAATGGTTACACAAACGTGGAATTCTCGTATCTTAGGATATGAGCACACTGTAGGGAGAGTTCTTTTTAAGTAGATGACTCATTAGGGCCATCGGAACGGGACTTTAGGTCCATAGAACATACGCTCGACTTTTTTAGCTTCGGGTTACAGTAGAGCAAGGAGAGTTTGTTCATCAATACCTGCACAGCCAGCATATGCTACCAGCTTTGAACTGTCCATTGAAATGATCCACTGAATTAACTCCTGTGCCTTTACACTGAGAACATAGGACAGCACCTGAGAATTGAGAAGAAAAAACATATGTAAACTAAGCTCAAGCTCTCTGATTTTACTTCAAGGTCAGAGGAGAAAAAAACTGTGCCACAAGCATCCAGCTGAAAGTAACCCAATCTTAGAGACTACTAACACAATCTAAGAAATGAGGAACCAGGAGGGATGGGTCGGTCGGATCTTTCATGTTGTATTACCTTACTATTGTATTTTCTATTTATACGATTACTCAGCAAAATCATGTCTAGGCCTGTCAGACCTAAATCGCCTCAAAATGTACTATAGGGAGATGCGACTAGCTGTTAAATTCTCCCTACCTGTAAAGTTATATGTCATTTACGTCATTGTGTTGCCTTTTGCTTATAGTTATATAACATTACTTTTAAATGTTCCCTCGTTCTTATTTTCAAACTCGCCCTCAAAATCTCTCTGCTCCATTTTCCAAAACCTTCTTTTCAAACTGGGCCAAAGGCTTGAGACGTTGCCCGGCTATAGGCGACGCGAATACAAACTGGCTTGACTCACTTGGTGTTGGGAGTGAGTGCTGCACAATCGCAAAGTTCACTACCAAGAAAAGTGCGATTGTGACATAAACACGGAAGATCATCCAACGTTCTTGGAGACATGGCCCCAAGAATTGAATATGAAGAAAACAGTACTAAAAGAAATTGACACCAGAAAACTTGGTTTGGAGGGGACAGATTTTAAGAACATAGAGCCAAACAAAACAAAGAAAGAACGGATGCAGCAAGCCATGGACAAAGGGGATACGGTCGAAGCGCCATTCCCGGCGTCCCAATACTGACACCGTCGCATGTCACGGGTCTAATTTATGGTTGTACCATTCAAAAGTTTGAGTGAAAGTTGGGAATTTAAGCTGAAGAACCATATATTAACTGGAGGAATAAAGATGGAGGTCTACATGTTCTATGAAGATAACACTCACCATTTCCATTGCAGTCAGAACAAAGTATGCTTTTGTTTTTCCTGGTTTGGTTACTATCTGCACCATCTGAAGCCTGCCAAAGCAACATTAAAACATTCTCAGAAACTGAAAGAGATTTGTGTTCTAAAGCATACCCCTAGCTAGATGTTGTTCGGTTTGAGTTTTTCCTTTTGAGCTTTCTCTCAAGGTTTTTGAAACGCGTCTAATAGGAAAAGGTTTCCACACCCTTATAAGCAATGCTTCATTTCCTTCTTCAACCGACGTGGGATCTCACAATCCACTCTCCTTGGGGGCCCAGCGTCCTCGCTGGCAAACCGTCCAATGATTGATTCTAACACCATTTGTAATAGCTTAAGCCCACCGCTAGTAGATATTGTCTTCTTTGGGCTTTCCCTTTCGAACTTTCTCTCGAGGTTTTAAAAACATGTCTACTAGAAAGAAGTTTCCACCCCTTATACGTAATGGGTCAAAGCAGATAATATTTGCTAGCGGTGGGAGACACTGGTTGGAGTAGAGCTAAACTCTCTCCATAGTAGATGCGTTTTAAAAACCTTGAGAGTAGCTCGCTCAATAGTTGTTGAAACAAACATTTCCACCATTTCTAGTTCCAACAATTTGCCCACAAGACAGACATAACCAAACAAGTTCATTTCATTTGTAGGAAAGAACTGGCCAGAGAAACCATACCTTGGCCGCACAAGGCAAAAGCCTAATGGGGTTTGTGCTTTGGAACGCCTCATTTATCCGAAAAGCCTTATTAGGAACTGAATTGGCAAGCAAAAATCCGCAACAAAATGTGAAAAGAAAGGGTTATAAACAAACAGAATCAAAACCAGGCAACTTTGGAAGAGAAAAGTGCAGAAAATACCAAACATGGGCTTGCTCGAGGGATTAAAGGACCAAATGGGTGTGGAAGAACCCACGGAATATGCCATTTAAATGGGGTTTTGGATTCGAATTTGTTCTTGAGGACTCAAATTCAGAAGTTTTCTGATGAGCTACTCATCTGCGTCTGCTGTGTGTGTGATGGTCTTGTCTGTGATTTAGTTGGTCGGAAATTAAGCAAATTTAACCAGATAAGGCTCATAATTCTCTCCTACTTAATTACCAAATTGCCCTCTAGAAGTTAATTTTACACTGAAAATACACTTTTAACCCTAATGATGAAATTTTGAAGAAAACGTTGAATTTTTTTTTAGAGGTTGATCTTGTTTGTCGGCCCAACTCCTCTAAGACAAGCGCATAAAGGTGTCACAATCGTACTTTTCTTAGCAACAAACTCCACCGAGTGAGTCAAGCTAATTTTGGATTTGTCACCTATGGTCAAACAACATATGTTCAACCCCACTATTAACAGACATTGTCACTCCATTCAAGGCCCAACGTCCTGACACTTGTTCTTCTCTCCAACCCATGTGGGATCTCACATACCAAGTCTAAGGTTACCCTTTAATCGTTTTATAATCTTCTCATAGCTTCTTATTGGAGATGTCGTATCTTGTACTATGGTAATATGTAGAACAAAATTGAATACAACCACGGGTTAACTCTCCTAGTTTCCAATATTGAATGTTCTAAGATAAGTTTTGAATCTAGTGAGAAAATGAACGTTATCGTCTACAATATCCACTAGCAACAAACCGAAGAGCACTACAATCAAAATGTCATGAACTGAAAACATCTAGCGTGAACAACAAATGAAGAACCAATACGATACGATTCGATTCATCCAATCTAACCATCACTTCAAACTGCAAGTCTCAAGGGCAGCTTCATATACAATAAGTGCTTACATGCTTCATCTGAGCAGCTGAGATGAAAAATGGCTCTTTTGCAAGACTGTCGTCCTCATACCGTGTTTGATCGTCGAGATCCCTCGGCTTCATTGTTCGCTACGCATGCTTTGCAAAAGAATTTCAACCAGTTTTTGTGCAGTGTGCATCTGTACCATGTTGGGTGCAATGATCATAACCTACAGAATGAAGGAATTCTCTGATCTCCTTTGAACTACTATTACTGGCTTTTAGCAGTCTTTCATCTTCCTCATAGATGAGATATGGGGCTTCAGTTCCCTTTCTAGATAAGATTTTCTTTGCCCCTTTTAGCACATGATATTCCCATCCCTGAACGTCGATTTTTATTAAGAGAACCCGTTCGGACTCGGGGATTACTTCATCTAGTGGTATTGACTTCACTTGAACTGCTATTTCTTCATTAGATTTGAATGCCAACTTTGCTCCTGTTGCTGAAACAGCACTGTTGTCAAGCCGACCAACCAACTGGGTAATGAGCAAAAGTCAGTGAAAGAAGCTTACAAAAAACGAACCAGATCAGGATGGCTCAATGCCCCCACTTCCTTAAAACAGCAAAGAAATCAAGAGCTATGAAAAGACCTTTGTAAATTGTACATATGACCAATGACATGAGATTGAACTGAATGACACCAATCGAGTTTCACTATGCTGCTGGTAAAACTCATGAGCTGCCCCCATGAAAAACAAGTTTAGCTGATGTTTTCTGTCAACATCAAACGGAATCCAAACATCTTACGCACAACTCGACTAGTTTCACATAAAAAAAATACACTACTAAGGAAGATGGACACAAGGCGGTATGCCAGCAAGAACGCTAGACCCCAAAGGGGAGTGGATTGAGGGTCCCACATCTATTGTAGAAGGGAGCGAGCGCCAGCGAGGACGCTGGGCTTCGCAAGGAGGTGGATTATAAGATCCCACAGCGATTGTGGAGGAGAACAAAACATTCTTTGTAAGGGTGTGGAACTTCTCCCTATTAAACGCGTTTTAAAAACCTTGAGGAGAAGCCTAAAAAGAAAAGCCTAAAGAGGACAATATCTCCTAGTTACAACTATATTTGTAAGCATATCAAAGGTAGATTCACAAAACTCGTGAGATTTTTAGTACCCAAAGTAGATTTAGTTTTAATCGTACCCTGAATTTCTTCTGCTTTTTAAACTTGCCAATCATTCCATAGAAAAGAAATCTAAACCAAAATGCAAACATGATGTTAGGAATCACGATTCTCTACAATGATATGATATTCTCCACTTTGAGCATAAGCTCTCATGGCTTTGCTTTTGATTTCCCCAAAAGGCCTCATACCAATGGAGATGTATTCCTTACTTATAAACCCATGATCATTCCCTTAATTAGCTAATGTGGGACTCACTCCCAACAATCCTCGATACCTGACTTTCTCATTGTTTGACTTTATTCAAGAAGAACATCTAAAAGGGTTTTCGAGGCACTACGACATACAATACGACATACAACCAGTTAGTAATACGAATTCATTAGAATCATTAGAAGACTAGGAGGGAAAAGTATCATCAGCAAAATGATGGCTGGTGAAAGGTGTTGGGATATTGTAATTTTCCTTCCATATATAAACAACACTATTTCCTGTTACTTTTCAATTTCAGGTTCCTAACACAATCATATTGAATTGACTCAAACAAGGAAAAAAAGATCTCTAAGCCCACAGATTTTGACCTCTCCTCACTACACCTCACGCTGAGTCGAAGCATTTTTCAGTGGTATACATAATTTGATAGACTAACCAGCTTTTTCATCCATAAAATAAACCAGTTCTGAAGCATAATAAGCAAGTTATGTAAACACTAAATTTTCCACAGCGCCAATCCACCCACCCATATACGAACCCATATACGAAGAACACCATGTTAAGAATTACGTCTCTTCACAATAGTATGATCTAGACCACTTCGAGTATAAGCTCTCATAGCTTTGCTTTGAGCTCACCCAAAAAACCTCATATCAATGGAGATGTGTATTCCTTATTTGTAAACCCATGATCATTCCCTAAATTAGTCCACGATTCTCTCCCTACAATCCTCAACAATCCTCCCCTCAAACAAAGTACACCATAAAGCCTCCCCGGAGGTTTATGGAGCCCTCGAACAGCTTCCCCTTAATCGGGACTCGACTACTTCTTTGGAGTTCTCGAATAAAGTACACCATTTGTTTGACACTTGAGTCACTTTTTACTACACTTTCGAGGCTCACAACTTCTTTATTCGACATTTGAGGATTCTATTGACATGACTAAGTTAAAGACATGCTCTAATACCATGTTAGGAATCAAGAATCTCCACAATGGTATGATAGTTTTGCTTTTGGTTTCCCTAAGAGGCCTCATACCTTACTTATAAACCCATGATGATCCGACTCTCTCCAACAATCCTCACCCGCATGCAAAGTTTTGAGATCCAACGAAATGTAATCACAAATGAGACCGTAAAGATTGATTTTATGAAGCAGATAATACCTTATGAACAGTGATGTTCCCAAGCCTATCAGATGCAGCAGCCTCAAACACATTCACCAATTCCCCAACCCTATTCAGATAAATTCCATCACAAATTCTCTGCAAATTTTCAAAAACCGGCTCAAATGCCAAAACACGAAAACCCATCGCAGCAGCAGCGAAGCTCGCCATTCCCACATTAGCACCCACATCAACAACATACCCATCTCTAGAATCGCTCTTCATCTTCTCCAAAACCTCCTGAATCGTCACCGAAATGTCCGGCTTACGAAAGGGCTTTCCCTTCAGCATCCTGACTATGTTCTTGTGGGGCTTATCGGGCAAATTCCCCAAATCCGCGATCGAAAACATAAACGGATATCGAACTCCTTCCACAACGTTGGCGATAACCGGGAAGGATTGAGGGCATTTGAAGCAATCGAAGGGAGAGATTGATCGGAAAGGAAAATCGGGTTTGATTGTGAAACTAGGAGTGGATTGCTCTGAAGGATTCGAGTTACCAAAGAGGAAGAAGAAAATGATGAGGATGCAGAATGAAAAGAGGAAGAACAGAGAAATGGGCGAGAGGAGTTTGGGTGCCTTGTCTCTTTTCCAGGCATTTGCCATGGAAATGTGAGATCAAACTACAAAACTTCTGAAGGAGATTGAAATGGAGCCTGGAATAAACTGTGAAGAATCTGAGATTTCCAGAAAATTAATGGTAGATCTGTGAAGAAGCTGGATTTTCATAAATACCCAGCTTCCTCCGATTTAAAAAAAAAAAAAACATTTTTAACTTTTAAGAAATTTCATAAATACCCACCGAATTTAAAAAAAAAAAATACTATATTTAAAAAATATCCATAAAATTTTAAAAGATTCATTAACCTCTATCAAAAAAAAATTTACAAATAAATATTTTAAAATTTTGGATAATCTAAATAAAATAATAAATTAGAAAACAAAAGAAAAAAATAAAAAATAAAAAATGAGAAATTCTTTTATATCTTAAATTAAAATTCATAATAAAACCCAACGAAATTTCAATTCAGAAATGGGCTTCTCTAGGCCCAACATGAGTTGAAATGAAGAGCAAAAGCCCATTTTCGTCGGCCCATAACTGTCCTTTTTCCCGGGTGAATCCATTCTTTGAGATTCTCGTCAAAATCCCATCGGTTTCACCATTTTCTTCCTCAAGTTCCGTTTTCAGTTTTCGATCTGAGATCTTCAGTTTGGTCGGAAATGGGGAAAGGCGGAGCCATCTCCGAGAATGTTCTGAAGAAAGTCCTCCTCTCGTACGCATACGTCGGGATATGGATCTTCCTCAGCTTCTCTGTCATCGTCTACAACAAGTTCATTCTGGATCAGAAGATGTACAATTGGCCCTTTCCGATCTCTCTCACCATGATCCACATGGCCTTTTGTTCCTCGATCGCGTATCTTCTCGTCAGCGTCTTCAAAGTTGTGGAGCCTGTGTCGATGTCCCGCGAGCTCTACTTCAAATCCGTGGTTCCGATCGGAGCTCTGTATTCGCTTTCCCTCTGGTTTTCTAATTCAGCGTATATCTATCTATCGGTTTCTTTTATACAGATGCTCAAGGCTCTGATGCCTGTCGCTGTGTACTCGATCGGAGTTACGCTTAAGAAGGACAAGTTTAAGTCTGATACTATGGCTAATATGGTTTCGATCTCGCTTGGTGTTGCGGTCGCTGCGTATGGAGAGGCGAAATTTAATTCAAAGGGTGTGACTTTGCAGCTGTTGGCGGTCGCGTTTGAGGCGACTCGATTGGTGATGATCCAGATTTTGTTGAATTCCAAGGGTATTTCGCTGAATCCCATCACCTCGCTTTACTACGTGGCTCCGTGTTGCTTGGTTTTCTTATCTGTCCCGTGGTTAATAATGGAGTACCCTTTGTTGAGGGATAATTCGAGCTTCCATTTGGATTTCGTGATTTTTGGTACCAATTCATTATGTGCTTTTGCTTTGAATCTTGCGGTGTTTTTACTGGTCGGCAAGACATCTGCTTTGACTATGAATGTTGCTGGAGTAGTGAAGGATTGGTTATTGATCGCATTCTCCTGGTCTGTGATTAAGGATACGGTGACAGCCATTAATTTGTTTGGTTATGGGCTCGCCTTCTTAGGAGTTGCGTATTACAACCATTCGAAGCTGCAGGCACTCAAAGCCGCGGAGGGTCAGAAAAAGGCTCAGCAGGCAGACGAGGAAGCTGGTAGGTTGTTGGAGGAAAGAGAAGGGAATGAAAGGAAGATTGATAGTCAAAAGTAGGCGACTGACAGGCTTGAGCCTTTACGAGGAGTTGTGCAGAAGAGAACATTTCGATGGTGTTGAAAAGTAGCTGCGAAAATCGAATTCATATCTCAACTAAGTTTTGGAGTTTTGGGTTAGGTATGCGTTCTTAGATATATTATTTTTTTGGTTTCATCTATTTATTATGGGGTTGATGGGGTTGATTTTAGTGCCTAATGTTGTAGTACAGAATCTATTTCTTTGACTGGAGAATGAACTGTTGTGGATGTTTATGGGACTGAGCTTCCACCAAAATGTTTAACTAATATCTACTATTATTTATGATCTTCTTTTGGTTTTGTTTTGAGGCCCATTTCTAGAAGAACACCCCCCGTTCCCAAGGCACCACGCTGATTTTAAGTGCAACACTGTTATGCTCTTACATCATATGCTTATAGGCATTAGAACAGCTTCCACTAAGTCTCTGCACCTACCCTTTTTTTGTTTCCGGAAAAAGGATTTGGCTCAGGATTGCCTTATGGAATATCAAAATGAAAATAGTGATTTGGGATGGGGATTTAAAAGAGATCAAGAAAGAGTTCAGCTCTAGCAAATTCAACATGAGAATATCCATTGAAATTGGGATCTTCTATTCCTTATAAAATGATCCCTGGTCAATGAAGAGCTCTTATTTATGCCCACCCTTTCCTCTGCCAATCATTATCAATCCACGCTCTGGAGTAATGTGGAATACAAGAAAAAGCTGCACAAACCCAAAATCTAGCTTAGTTGACTAGCATTTCTCAGCAGCAGATCCCTCATTTGTAGTAGTTTCCATCGCTTGAACTTGTTTGGGTTTCTGTGGCTTATACCATATTGCACAAACTAAAAATGCTACAAAATTTATGGCACTCAGTGTAGCTAGAAGCCCATAGAAACAATCTAGCCTAGCATAATTTATGTTATCTGCAAGCCATCCCTGTCCATCCTTGCTCCCCGTCACCCTCTTCACAACTGCGACCAGAAAACTACTAAGAAAAAACCCAAGTGATAAAGTTGTGAGGAAGAGGCCAGTGCTCAGAGATTTCATTCCCTTTGGGGATTGTGTTATGAAGAAATCAAGCTGGCCAGTATAGATGAAAGCTTCTGCAGAGCCCACCAAGAAGAATTGAGGAATCAGCAAGAACACACTTAAAGGCAAGGTTGCTGTGGATCTACCCACAGCTTTAGCCACTGAGAGTCGTTTCATCTCGACTAAAGCGGCAGCTGCCATTCCTAAGGTTGACAGGATAAGTCCTATGGCAATCTTCTGTAGGTTTGTAAAACCTGTAAAAAAAAAAAAAGGACGAATCATGTTTTCCAAGATTCCTTATTTTATGCATTGGATAGGCACCCCTAGAATTAACTGAACTCGTAATCTAGTTCTCGAAGATTAGCTTGCTTTCTCCAATAGGTATTCTCTTCTTAAACTTTGCAACCTTCAATAAAGTTGTGGTAATTCATTGGAAGTTCATTTCAGATCTTATTATGTATTTGATATTTTTACTTTTTTAAAAAAATTACCTTCATTGCCAAAATGTTACTACTGACAGTCACAAAACCTTTAATTTTATGTGCTCTTGCAGATTAAATATTCTGTAAAAACTTTAGAGATGACAAAATTTCTGACAGCAACCGGAAATCTCGGTTAGACTGGGAACATGGGCAGAAATAGATATGTAAGGTTTTTTTTTCTCTGATTTAATTTCGAGAATGGGAATGGAGGATACTATTAAGATTCTATATTTAGCCAGTTATAATCTTGGTTCTATTTTGTTGGATTGGAGCCTTTTCTTTAATTAGTTGGGACTCCCATTTTTCGTTGGATGTTTTCTGTATGGCCTTTTTTTTTTCCTCAATGAAAACTTGGTTTCTTACCCAAAAAAAAAAAAAAAAAAAAGATTCCATCTTTACCTGGTTGCCCTTTCCACTTCTTCCAAAGAGGCATGACAAGACGGTCATAAAAGGTCAGCGTGATCAATATGGCTGCCACAAAGAAAACAGTTAGAGAACCGGCAGGGATTTGGAAAGCCCCTAAAGATCTTTCCATGGTTGATGCCTGCACCACTGAGAAAGTGATCATCTGGGCATATGTAGTCCAGAAGATTATGGTTGTGGCCCATATTGGTAGGAGCCTCGTCATCATCTTCACCTCCTCTACCCTTGTTACGGAGCAGAGCTTCCATGGATTGTGAGCTGAGCTTACAGATTTCTCAAAATCTCCCTCTGCCACAATTGCAGCCTTGTCCAGAAGTCTAGAAAGAAAAAAATACATTAATAGCCTACAAAAACTTACCCTTGTCCACATCTTTATTTACAGGATGTTCCTTTTCAAATCAACTTGTAAAGGTTAAGCCAACAAAACACATACTGGAATTGATTTGTGTGATCAACAGTTGATGTTGCAGCAGGATCCTCATATAGCATAGCATCATTGTGTGGAAGTTCCATCTTCCTCTTGTTTATTGCTGCAACAATGACCTGGAAGATATGAACTATTGGACTTCCCATGCTTTTCTTGTATCTATACCTCTTAGTACCACACAGGAATATCAAAACTGCTGTGAACATTGAAACAGAACAAATTCCATAAGCCCAACTGCGTCCCACTTCATCTTGCAAGTAAACAAGCACTGTCACTGCTAGCAAAGTCCCACTGCTGACAAACAAAAAAAATCTGTTGAAGAAATATGCCATTTGAGCCTTCTCTTTGTCATTTTTCTCGTCAAATTGGTCGGTCCCAAATCCTGAAACACTGGATTTGAGACCTCCAGTTCCCAGAGCTATTAGGTACAGAGGCAAATAAATCATTCCCATTTGAAATCCATTAGCTTGCTTGCAGTTCTGGCTGGCACTAGGATCACAAGGAGGTGGATGTAATTGTGGTAGCTTTGTTATTACTGCTAGAGTTCCAGTTCCCTAATTCATTTTAGCAAATATGGTTGAGTTATGAAAAGACAAAATAAGATTGTCAAATGTCAAATTGACGGGAGAAAATCCATAATTACCAGTGTCTGTATTGAGGCAAAGATTGCTATTGTCTTGTATCTTCCAAGGAACGAATCTGCTAGAAAACCTACAAGCAAGCAAAGGAGGAAACATGTTCCCATGAAATCTGTGACAATGTTGGCTGAAGTTGCACTAGGCAGATGCAATGTTCCCACCAAGTAAGTCACCAGATTGACTGCTATTCCCATTGTTGAAAGTCTTTCACATAACTCAATCCCTGTCCAAAATTTAATGAGCCTGATTCAGTCTGTAGCAAAAAAATTCATCCTCTCTCTTCAATGATTTTTTCTTTCGTTTGGTTGTGATTTATTTCTTTATTTGAGTTTTCTTGGAGAAACAAGAATATCCAAAATTCACACCAGAAAGAGAACTTTTTATGTAGCCAAGGAATGTGCACTGCTATTAAATATTCTTCCTTTTGTAGAAAATCGAGTATAATTGAAGACAGGCAAAAGGAGT